TTATGTGTGTGCTTGTAGCAACTTTATGGCTTTGGGTAATGACTGATTTCGGAGAGGTTTGTAAGAAGAAAGTTACAAAAAATATGCTAATAATAACTTTTTTTTTTTTTTGTTTAACGTCACTAATAATAACTTTTATTTACCCCTCAAGGGCCCAAATACCTCATTTTCTTTTGGCCCAAAGATCTTCCTACAAATAAATATTAAGAAACAACATTGATTTTTGTTCTTTTTTTTTCGTCAGACAACATTGGTTCTCTTCTCCTCCTCTCTCATTCTCCGACAAAAGAAAGAATTAAGAGACTTAGGTTTTTTTTTTCACTACTTTGCCGGATCTCTCGCCGGATTTGTTTCAGGTTTGTTGTAATTCCTCTCTCTTGCGCTCTCTTTCTCTCTTTCTCTCTCTCGTTGTCTTTATGTGACTATGTGCATCGTGTTTCTTCTAACCAAACTTGGGACAAAGAGGTGAATCAATTGAGTTCTGAAGTATAATTTTTTCTTGGGTTTGCTTTAGAATTTCGTTACTGTCTTCTAAGTGAGAAGATCTGGTTGTGAACTTTCCGTTGTGTAATGGAAGCTTGGGAAAGACGTTAGCTTTTTTTTTTTTTTTTTTTTTTTTGGGGACAAACAGGGGAAGACGTTAGCTTTGGATGTAAAGATGTAGAATTAAGGTTGTTGTTTTGCTTGAGGTAGATTTGTTTTGTTATGAATTTCGTCATGAAAACAACATATGTTTTGTTTTTTTTCTCTCTTGCGGGTTCTCACTTTTGTTCTTGTAGGGTGTTCAATTTAAAAAATGTCGCAATCAACAGTAGATGTTTCGGCAAAGGGTGGGTTTAGCTTCGACTTGTGTAAGAGAAATGAGATGCTTACACAAGAGGGTCTTAAAGCTCCGTCTTTCTTGAAGACCGGAACAACCATTGTCGGTTTGATTTTCAAGGTATGGTTTTCATCCTCCCATAGTTTCTTCTTGGCTATATATTGAGTAAAAGGATTGTGGAATCTGTACAATGTTGTTGATTTTGTTATTCGGGTTTTGTATAGGATGGTGTGATACTAGGGGCAGATACCCGAGCGACCGAGGGGCCCATTGTTGCTGATAAAAACTGTGAAAAGATTCACTATATGGCACCAAACATATATTGTTGTGGTGCAGGAACCGCGGCTGACACTGAAGCAGTTACTGGTATCTCCTTTCTAACCCTTTTGTTGATAGATTTTGTTTTCTCTACCTGTTAAAGAAATCAGAATCTAATTGACATAATGCATCGGTATGTTTAACTTCATTCTCATTTTCCAGATATGGTCAGCTCACAGCTGCGATTGCATCGTTACGAGACTGGTCGTGACTCTCGGGTTATTACTGCTTTAACTCTCCTCAAAAAACATCTTTTCAGGTAAACTTTTTTTGTTCTATCTATTACAGAAACTCGTCTTAGAGAAACATAGATTGCTTAGCTGCCTAAGTTTTATTTCAGCTATCAAGGTCATGTCTCTGCTGCGCTTGTGCTTGGTGGAGTTGATATCACTGGCCCACATCTGCATACTGTAAGTTTTAGATGCTATCTACTGAGAAGAGTTTTCTTTTCTTTTTTGTTTGTTTGTTTGTTGTTATCCATATATATATATATGATATATATATATATATGACATTTGACTATTTGTCTTACACACAGATTGACCCAAACGGTTTAACTGAAACTCTTCCATTTGCTACAATGGGTTCTGGTTCTCTTGCTGCTATGTCTGTGTTTGAGGCGAAGTACAAAGAAGGCCTAACTGTAAGTAAAGCGAAAATATTCATCTTTCAGTTTCCAGATGCATTATCTTCTTCTGTCTGATTAATTTCTTGTTACAAAATAAAATACTCTAGAGGGATGAAGGAATTAAGTTGGTCGCTGAAGCCATATGCTCTGGTATATTCAATGACCTGGGTAGTGGTAGCAACGTAGACATCTGCGTGATCACAAAGGTTTGTCTCTTCACCCTGCTTCTTTAACCATGCAGTACCTTTGATTAATGTACAAAACTCCCTTTGGTCAGCATTGCCATTATATTAATGCAAAATGTCCTCTCCATTTGGTTTAATGCATGCAATGCAATCATGTTCAGCAGCAAGCTGACCAAGTTTTTCACTTCCAAATTTAAACTCTTTTCGAGCTTATTGTTTGACACTGTGTTGGCAAACAGGGGAACAAGGAATACCTGAGGAATTACATGGAACCAAACCCAAGAACCTATGTCAGCAGCAAAGGCTATTCCTTCACCAAGAAAACCGGTAATTATGTTACTCTTGAACACATGCACAACACAACAAACAAATTAAACTTGCATATCGTTACCCTCAGGCTTTTAATTTCTCACTTATCATCTTGTTGGTTTATTGTGTAACAGAGGTTCTTCTTACCAAAATCACCCCATTGCTGGAGCGAGTCGAAATTACAGAAGTCGGTGAAGCTATGGAGGAATGAATGAATCGATATCAAATCTCTGATTTTCCCATGTTTAAGGATCTTGTTACTCTAATTCTGTCTTTCTTTCGAATCCTATAAAAAAACAACTTTCTTACCGGCTAGTTCAACTTTGGTTTGTGCAAATCGTACCGGCTGGTTTACCAAATTCTCTTTTTCCGTTGAGTCGCCGGCTTTCGACTGGAGATGACAGTGTTTTTTGTTCCCGCTAATATCTCTACACACAGTGTCCTGAATACTTACTATCCTTTTCGTTATCTTTCTTCTTTTAATTAAGACTATCATAAGATTGAACAAGACATGGAGAATTTATCCAATGGCGTTAGAGATCACTGTTTGACCAGTAACAGTATATGATCATGTCTCAGTTACACGAACAACGTACGTGTTGAGCTTGTTACTAGTAATATATGGACCTAATTCTCTAGGGAGGAGGATCCCCAAAACATATATTGCCCAAGGAACCTTATTTCTCTCTAATACTTGTGAGCCAAGTAAATTAATTAAACTCATCATCTGTTTTTCATCAAATCAAAACTAATTAAACATTTTTGATTTTTCTGGTCTTGGAAAGGTGGTAACAGGATACTCTGCAGTGAAAGCTAACTTTGCTTCTAAGCAAGGGAGTTCCAGAATCACATATCATCTTTCTCAATCTTATAGCAGTAAAGACCAACCGATCACAAACCTTTCGTTGATGTTTTTCATTAGGTTAGTTATGTAATCATCAGTATTATTATTCTAATACAAGAAAAACAAAAAAAAACCAAATTGGTAGAGAAACTAAATTTGAAATACCGATTCTATATATAAACTCTTACATAACAATGACTTAAAATATAAATAAAGAATTAGCAATGTTAATTTCTTTTTTTTCAGTTTACTTATCCGCGGGGGTCGACTTCGTAATTAAGATATTAAACCTTCATTAGTTGAACCAAAAAAAAAACATCAACCTTCTTCATTAAAATAGTAACCAATTAGCGCCTTGATACGACTGAAATTTTTTCCGGCAAACCCGACACTTGTACGAAAGCTTCTTTGATTCTCGGTGAGGCGTTTGGGGCTGCGACTGTTGAAATCGCGTTTGCGACCGCTGATCTTTGGCGAGCATTACGAGACAGAGAGCGAGATACTCTTCCTCCGTAAGATCTTCAAGCTGACGTTTGTATTCAAGCCACGGCTCCATGAAAACGGGGTCGCTCGTCTTAATACTAGATTACAATTCTTTCTTGTCTTTATATAATTCTCTAACACAAACTTGGAAACCCTATCTAATATACTTGATTCTCTCTTGCCTTCTCTACCATTTGCGTTGTCGAGAAACCAATCAAAGGTATTTTTTATTTTTCTTTTCCCTTATCTGTGTTGAAGATTGAGGAAGATGATCGAAGAATATTTCCCTAAACCCATAATCTTAATCTCGATTTTCAAAAAGTTCGATAGTTATAGTCTTACAGATTATTTTCAATGGTCTTTGGCTTTTAAATTAAGCTTTTGTTGTCTGTACTATATAAATAAAAACTAGATTTTGAAGTCTAAAATTGATTCTCGGTGTTGTACTAGGAGCATTTTATCAAAAGCTCTTATGCATCAATCGCGCGAACTGTTTAAAACCACCAGTTGGTTGGGGATTTCTCGAAACTCGTCTTTAAATACGGTTTAAGTTTGTGATTATTGGTTGCAGTACATACAAAATGTGGTTTAAGTTTTCTAGCTGATCGGACGGTTAGGGTATATATGTATCAATGTATGCGGAACATGATAAAATATTTTATATTTTACATTCTTTAATCAAGAGAGAGAGTACATTATAAGTGGGTTATTAATTGGTAAATGTGGTTTCTTATCTTTGTCTTTGTCACATTTACTTCATACTAGGATATGACCCGCGGGTTAATTATTGGATTTTTTTTTATCTTTTTATAAATTGATGAATTTGTTGTGTATAATATTTTTTGTTGTACACCGCGGATCACATGCGTTGTAACTAAAAAATAAAAAATTTCAGTTATATTTATTTTGTTTAGTGTTTAAGATTATATAATTCTATTTTGATTTGTTAATTCTAGGATTTCAGCCGTAATATATTGTCCCGTATTAATATCAACCCAAACCCGTCCACCATATAATCCCGTCCTGTGAAATTAAACATTATTTTGTTATTTTTTTAATAACACTTTTATTTAAAAGATATATAATTCGAGTCAATTTAAAAGTTTGATTTTCAAATGGTTTCCATAATATATATAAATTATTATGTGTTTTTGGACCAACCCGTAAAAAAGAATTTATAATTCTATCTTAAAATACTAAATAATTGTATTTTGAGTTGTTAATTTAATGATTTCACCCGTGATATACTGTCCTGTTTTAGATAAATATAGAAATTAAGGAAAGATCCGATTGACTCAATTTTTGGTCAGAATAAAAAAACGACCTGATTAAATGCGAAATTTTAAAAATATTAATATAAAATTTGAATGAAAATGGATATTAAATCTTGTTATGTTAATCAAAATATGACATACACTATTTTATTTAATCATCATTTAACGCCTCGAAAAAGTTATAAAACGGCTCAAATGGGCCAACATGGGCCTTGAGGACTTCAACTCTGACGCTGAACTCCACTTAACGGGCCACACACACTTCGTCTCCAAGCTTTCGACCAAAAGAGATTGAGCGATTCGCAGACTCGAGGACGCGACTGTGAGAGAGAGAGAGAGAGAGAATGGTGTCGTCATCATCGAGAGGAGAGATGGAGAAGATGGGAATCGATCAGCTGAAGGCGTTAAAGGAGCAAGCAGATCTGGAAGTGAATCTCCTTCAAAATAGTCTTAACAGCATCCGTACAGCCACCGTCCGTCTTGATGCTGCCGCCGCAGCTCTCAACGATCTCTCTCTTCGACCTCAAGGTTTTGTTTATTTCACCTCTCGTTATTCAAATTGATATTTTCAACGATGGATGATGATTTGAAACAATTGAAAATTGTAGGTAAGAAGATGCTTGTACCACTGACTGCTTCTCTATACGTTCCTGGGACACTTGATGAAGCTGATAAGGTTTTGGTTGATATTGGCACTGGTTACTTCGTCGAGGTAATGAGAATTGGATTATGTATGAACTTGTTCTATTAGGCTTGTTCTTGTGTAGCTAAGTATTTTTTTGTGTTTGTAGAAAACAATGGATGATGGAAAAGATTATTGTCAGAGGAAGATTCACTTGCTCAAATCCAACTTTAACTAACTTTTTGAGGTAATCTAACTCGTTTAGCAATTTTCAAATGCCTGATTTGTTTGTTTAGATAGATTCTGAGATGGGAGAATAAAGAATTAAGCCTACACTTTTCTTTCATACGGCTTATTGAGTATGTCTTTCAACTGTCTTTTTATAGAAGAATAACACATTTCTTATGAACATTAACAAATATTGTGAAATGAGTAAGTGAAAAGGAGTTTTTAAATTGAATGAGTCTGATTCTTATTAGGGGTGAATCTTTTTGGAGTTCTTTCAGTGACTTGATCCATTGTAGAAAAATGTTTGAGGGATGGCTGCGATGGAATGCAATTGATGAAATTGAAAGTCTAATTTGTTTCTTCCTTTAGCGTCACAATTACATTGAATCTGCACTGCAAAAATACAAAATCTTGTTTATACATTTGTCTGACTATTACTGGGGGTTTTGCAAACCATAAAGCAAATATGAAATGAAACAAAGGTAAAGTAAACATACCTTTTTAATATGCTTTTATGACATATCATTCCAGCAGGATTATCAGTCGATATTCTGGAAAACCTCTTGCTGCAGCCATTTCTTCTTGGTAAGTGTTTATGTTTTGAAGCTGTGGATTGACTCGGTATTGTTGTAAAGCGTGGAGAGGTGCAATGGAAATGAGACAGTATATATAGAGGTTTGACAGGTATTAGGGTTTTGGGATAGATTACATAGGAAATCTTAATTAGCACGGTTTGGATATCTAAGAAAATATGTAAATCGGCATATACGGTGAACAAATAAGGATAATATCTTTTTGGTTAGAAGTAGTTGACAAATATTGAATGTGGAGAGAATATTGAATTGATATTCTTACCCTTTTTTAGGAAAACTAAATGATTTATAATGTAGTAATAACTGTTGAATATACGCAATAATCAATCATAGTAATTGTTAGGATTTTGTTGTTTTGGAAAGTATTATTAGTAGGATACAATATTATTAACCCGAAATTCTTGCCTTTTTTTTTGGAAAGTTTCATTATTTGGATCCGTAATCAAAACTTGCGGGTCATTTAGTCGGGTCAAAATCAAAAATCCGGGTCAAAATCTTAGTAATTACCCGACCCGATTTGGGTACCCCAAAAACTGCTGCAAAAATGTATAGTAGATTGAGGTTTTTGATTAATTGGTTGCAGTACATACAAAATTCGAAAAATCCCAATATCAGAATATATATATATATATATATATATATATATATTACAAGTAAATATTTAAGGACGTATTGGAGACAAAAAAAAAAACATTTGTTATAACACGAATTTACAATGTGTTTTTCTTTTTTTATTTCTTATGATCTCATGTTTGATAGATTTGAGCAAAAAAAACCAGACTCGAAACCCGTTATTACTGTTTTAAAGATTTTTTTTTGGCTTCCCATTATTTTGGGTACAAAATACCTGAAAAATGGGAACCGATGGAATACCCATTTTTCTGGTATTTATAGTATCCTGAAATTTGTACCCTAACCCGACAGTAGGCCTGGGCGTTCGGGTATTCGGGTCGGGTTCGGGTTGGGTAATTCGGGTTCGGGTATACCCAAAATATCCAAAAATAAAAAATTGCATACGAAACTTTTCAAACTACACGAAATATCTAAATTATTCAAAAATATGAATACTTTGTACTTGAATATACTTAGAAATAGCTAAAATATGCAAAAATATTCCAAATTCCAATATTTTAGACACTTATATTATTACAAATATATATATTACTAATATATTATTACTATGTATTTATATTTCGGATATATTCGGGTACTTGTTCGGGTTCGGGTTTTCGGGTTTTGAAGTTGAGGACCCGTCCGGATATTTTAACATTTCAGGTTCGGGTTCGGGTCGGTTTTTTCGGATTGGGTTCGGTTCGGTTCTTCGGATTCGGGTAAAACGTCCAGGCCTACCCGAAAGGATTTGAACCGAATGTTTTTAATTATCCTATTATTAGATATTAAATTCATAAACCCCAAAACCCGAATCCGGACCCATTACTCATTTGTGGCTGAAAATGTGGTTTTGGCGGAAAAACGGTATTAAATTTTTGTACAGAAAAATACAATTTTCTGTTTTTGGGACAAAAATAAAAATTTGATTTAATTAATATTTTAATTTTAATCATTTTTTATTGAAAATAATCAACATAAATGGGTCTAATAGGTACCCATTTGATTGTGTTAAAATCCATGTAATAAATAAATCTAATTGGGTTAACCCATTTAACCATATTTAACATTTTTTGATAAACAGATTTAAATGGGATATTTTTTTATAACTAACTCATTTAATTAAATGAATTTTGGAACCACATCAGCTAAATGTTTTTGACAATAGTTCATAGTCATATTATAAATAAGACCAAAATGATCTAAATTTGAATGAATATGAAGTTTAACTTAAAAAGCATCTATATTAAAAAAAAAAGTCGAACCATTTAACTATACTAGATATATAAATTTTGAAATTCAATCTAAAAGTTTAAAATATTATGAAAATTTTACACTTTTAACAAGCTTAAAATATCATAGGACATAATTATATGGCGGGACCGGAGCAAGTTTAAAATATTATTGACTCGGTGCTGCAACACGGATAAATCATCATTTCATTATTTTGTTAATACCATCAATAAAATGCTAAACATGGCAAATTAAGTTGGTTAAATTATAATTATATGAAAAACAAATTATATTGCGGTATACTGCATGTTAAATTCTAGTTATTTATACAATTTCTATAATCTCTATCCCAAGATCTATAATAATATTATTTATAAAATCGTATATAATCTCGATACTATAAAATGTATTTGAATGGTAGTTTTTTGTAGTTAATGTAAATAACAAAGAAAAAAAAATAGAAATTCGAAACTAGTAATTAATAAATATGGTAACTTTTTGGGCAAACCAAAGAAACCCTAGAATTGGAAACGAGGATTAAGACAAACTCTGCATAATGAGCTTGCCACGAATTTATCCTTGTCATATTTATTTATCTTGTGCAAAGTAGGTGAATAACTCGGCATAATGAGTTAATGAGTTCATAAAGGCTAGCTAAAAAGTAGCTAATTATGATCATAAGAAATATGGTTAGACACAGTTTGCAACGACCTCGTTCATAGATATTCTTGGAGTCGAGCGAGTACTGATCAAAATATGCCTTCTTGACCTTGTTGTTGAAGCCAGTGCAATGTATGTCTCTGTTCCACAGGGGAGAGTTGCGGTCGGAGATCCCTTTGGGGATTTTGGAGGTGAACTGAAAAGCGTAATTCATGACTCCTATGTGGATACTCTGTTTAGGAAGAACACGGTCGAAGAAGGAATCGGGAACGCCAGCACTGTAGTATCTCCTGTCCGAAGGAAGTGCTCGGAAGAGAGTGTTGAAATCGTTATTGCTTAAGTCGTTGAAGAGGACTTGGAACTCGATGTTATCTGACGGGTTTTGTCCGGTTTCTCTAAGATACTTCTCTTCCACGGCATCTATTATGTTTTGGACTGCCACAAAAGTGTTAGGTCCACTCGCACAACCGAAATCCGCAACACTAAACCGATTCGAAATCAAATCGAGGCTGAGGTTTGCTGAGATCACCGCGTTTATTTTATCCTTTGCTGCTTTCAGCAAATCTCTCTATAAAACCCCAATCAAAGAGAAGACTGTTAACACATCTTAGTAATTCACATTCTAGCTAAGAATTCTAAAATCATTTATATATGTAAACTTGATACGAAGAATGCTGCTTGTAACTCTCAGGACCTTCTCCTCCAACCATGACCCATTCTGGAGTAGGAGACATTATTCTCTCTTTCTTTTCTCTCACTTTTCTTTTCTTGTTTGGTACTTTAATTTGTAATGAGAATTGTGAGAGTTTATGGACGCATCTATGCTTGTTTATACTAATTTTTCGTTTGAAAATTCTTCCCTCAAATGAACTGTACCTTAAACTAGTTTTGTCAAGAAGTTAAAATGTAACATATGAAACGATTAAAGCATTTGCAAAGTTGGTGGTGCATAAGGGAATAGAGTTTGATATTTGAATATCATGGATGTCTCTTGTGGGCTCTTTTATAGTTGCTAATATAAAAGAGTCCACTAGGGAGAATATAGTTTGATGTCTGTCTTTCGTCTTCTTTATTTTTTTGGCTATGTCTTTTACATGTATTATTATTATTTGTCATTTTAAACTAATCAAATGATTTAAAAGATAGAAACAAGTCTTTTAAAAAACTCTTCATGTTTTTCTCTTTCTTAAAAAAAATTATTTCTGGTTTTTTTTTTTTGATGAAAAGGATAAAAAGTTTAATGTTAAATTTTGTTTTAAAGATGAAAGATAAAAAGGCACACAGATGTATGTAATCTAACATTTGTCAAAATTGGAAGCTATTAAATATTAACAAATATATACTCAATTTCATAAAGTTGGAAATCCCTTTTATATTTGGAGAATAACTCTATTTTTGCTTCTTATTTCAAAGTTGGAGTATTAAAAGAGAGAACTTGAATTGTTATTCATATATTGATAGAACTCGTTTCACATCTAGCTACTATATATATTTAAAGGGGAGATTTTTTAAGAATTAACATTTGATCTAATGTCATTGGAAATTTACATGCACATTGGAGAATCTAGTAAAATCTAATGTTTGAAAAACTAGGGTAAACTAGACAACTTTATACTAGATTTCTACCATCCATGTTGCATAAACATAAATTTGGATTTATTTTAAGACATAAATCGTTTTCACATTACAATAAACAGTCTAATACAGTAATAGTATACATGTGATAATAAACTTCTTACATATGATAATATTTATCACATGTATTTATAAATTTTTCAACAACTGTCGAGAAATTAATTTACACTAAGAGTAGACCAATTTTTTTTAAAAAAATTTGTTATCATCGCATATAACATGAGATATCATCTAGTATATAGTTATTGAAGATAATATCAAACTAAAAAACATTTCGTCGAAGGAAAAAAAGTCATAAAGAAGAAGAGCTTGAAGTAAATGATATAGAATATTAGGATCTATCTAACGCATAAATTAATATAATCAATTCTTCATATTTTCGAGGATAGTCAAACTATGAAAACGTTAAAATCGAATTTTTATTTGATATGTCGATTTTTGGTCAAATATATAATAATTGTGCTGGTAATTTTTTTTTATAAAGAATTGAGGTTAAGCATAATTAATAAAAATACCAAAACGTCAATATAGAATAAAATCCAGATTGTACTTAGTAGGAGGACCTACGTTTTGAAATGGAGAGTCAACATGCTCTTCTAACTAGCCACCTCTCAGGACAATTCGGGTTTCCTTTATATCGGCAACTAGTATTGTTATCGTTGATTTTGTTTTTGTAAATGTGAAAATTAATATCATCAATAAGCTTTAGTTCCAACCTTTGGAAACTTCATTAGGAAAATAATTGTTTTTAAATCAGGCGTTAACTACTCCCGAGCTATATAAGTTTCGTGATCATATCAAATTGCTCATCGACCGGCTACTACCTAACTCTACAGATAAAAACTTGAAAGCATATTGTCATCTGAAGTCAATTCTTGACTAGATAAAATAAACATGTAATCAATATGTTGTGAATAGCTACAAGTGACAGAATTATCGGTAGCCGCGGGCCCGCGGACAATTTGAGGACTCCTAAGGAGAAGCCATGAGAAAATTCTTTAAAGTCAAAAGCATAGGAAGAGTTTCCTTCCTCACATCTAGAATGCAATCATTTTTCGTGATTCGCAAGAAGGCAAGAACCGATAAAGAAACTGCTTCTTATTCTTTCTTCTTATGGTGCTTCCGTTGTATATTCTTATCGTTGTAGTGATAATGTCTTTGTACTTCCTTCAATCATACAAATGGCTGATTGTTTTTTTTACATATACAAGCTGAATGATATATCATAAAAGTTATTTCATATGCTAATTAATTAATTTGCTGAAGTCAAAAGAAGGGATATATATATATATATATATATATATATATATATATATATATATATATATATATAAAATGTTGCTCATAAACCATATGACAATAAATGTCAATATATATGCTTGGTTCTTCCTAAAATATCGGGGTTGGTGCAATCGAAAGAGCTTAAGTTGAGTCAAAATATAAGACAATAGTTTGGACTTTGAAGCTTCAATAATGTACGCGTAGTGGAAAAACATTCTTTCCTGGTCTCATTTGAGACGCAAACATGGAGCTAGCTAGAATTGATAGGATATCATATTTTTTTCGTAGTCTATAATATTCCAAACCTTTCGGGTTTTGTTTGTTTGAATAATGAAAGATGAAAGAGGAAAAATGAAAATTAATCCTTATCTTTCAACGTTTGATTACAATGATTTGGATTAAATAGGCTCTATTTTAAGTATTTAGGTAAAGCATATTATCGGTTACGTAAGGTGTTAACCTCCAATCTTTTTTCTAGTTTGGACTCTTTGTAATCTCTTGATGAGGTCATCATGCAAACCAAGCAACAACGTATAGTGGAGACCGAGATCCATTTCACACTACCGGCTCAACCATGCTCAGCTTAACTGAGAAGACCCATGGCCTAGTTCACACGAAGTGGAATCAGCCTCAGAAGAGTTCACAAGAATAAAATATGAATTTTTCAATCCGGTTGAACATAAATTTACCCCGTTTTGACCTACGTGCACTATTTGGAGATTTCCGATCGAACCAGAAGGAATTAGGCAACAAACCGACATGTTCTGTAATCTTGATCCTTCAGAGAATCTCAGACATTTGTGATCAGCCATATAATTTATAAACAGACACTTGCATATATGTATAAGATTAATCATAAACCATAAACATACATTGGTTCATTTGTGGGATTGTGGACAATAAAAAGACGCTAAGAAAACATCAAAAACAACAAAAAGACGATAAAGCACTAGAGGAAAGAAGAGAAGCAACAATGCATGGAGGAAACAAATATTTACATTATATTTTGGATAATCTCAGTTCTTACGAAGTACGATATATGAGGTATTGCATTGCGGGTTTGGCTTTCTGGAGGCGAGAAAATTCTAGGTGTGCCTTGGACTCAACGAGCTCAAAGGCTTTCCTCATGGTTTCGGCTCCAAAATGTGTGGATAGGATACCTCTAAAGGCACACTTAAAGTAGACAGCCAAGATCTTGGGGTCCAACGTCTCCCCACTTGGCTGAATGATATCCTCGAAAGCCTTTATTGTGAACTTTCCGTTCTCTTCTATGATTTGCCTCAAGGCCCTCAACTCGCCTTCCTCTACAATGTAGAGTGTGATGTTGAAAGAGTCCACCTTGTCTTGCTCGATTACACACTTTGTTAGTAAGAAAAAAAAATTAAAGAAAATAATGTTAGTTATGTGCCTTAGAGCATGATTATTGGTAGTATCTTAGAAAGAACTCTTAGCAATATTTAAGTAATATATTTGTAAAAGTGATTGTTAAGAGATAGTATTTTTGAGTTAAGATTTTTGTGTGATTAATGGTAGGCTCTTAACATGTGGTTCTTAGAAAAATAAATATTAATATAAAAATAAAATTTATAATTATAGAAAATTTAATAATTGTTGCAAATTAAAAAAATTAAAACATACATGAGATACAATTTATAACATAAATAATATAAAGCACAAATGTTTTAAACTTAATTTCTGGAATATTTTGTCCATATATGCTCGACCAAATCATTCTTCAATTGTTGATGCATACCTCGATCACGAACTCGAGCTCTATTGGTCATCATTCCGAAGAAATTTGAAGGCATATCTGTAGAATATGTGAAATCCACCCGTGAACTTCCTGCAGATTCCGCTTGTTCGAATTCGGTAGTATCAAACTGAGTATACCCATCTCGTTCGTCTTCTACTATCATATTGTGAAGTATTATACATGCTCGCATAATATTTCCTATTTTTATTTTATCCCAAAGAAGAGCCGGATTTTTAACAATGGCAAATCGAGCTCGTAAAACTCCAAAAACACGCTCGACATCTTTACGGCAAGCTTCTTGATGGGTTGCAAATAAAGATGCTTTATCCGTTTGTGGAAGTGAAATAGATTGGATAAAGGTAGCCCATTTAGGTTAAATGCCATCCGTAAGATAGTAACCTAAATTATACTCGTTTCCGTTAACTGTATAATTTACTGCTGGTGCTCGCCCTTTTAAGATGTCATAAAAAACCGGAAAGCGATGTAGAATATTGATATCATTTAAAGTACCTGAAGGTCCAAAGCTAAAGAACGTTTCTTAGCTAAGGAACATTTCTTAAAGTTAAAGCACATTTTAGATTAAATTATATTGAGTTTAATGTTAACAAAAACCTAAGATTTCTCTAAGAGTCTCCCTTTAATCATGCTCTTATGTCGTTGTAGATAGTTTATTAAAGATAAAAAAAATATATTATATAATAAAAAATTAGTATAAAATCAGCAATATGCATACATGTAAATGCTTTCATTGCGTGGCATTGGACTAACGTTGATTAACCTATATATAAGTTTATGTTTCACGTCATTTGTAAAAGTTTCTTGTCGGCCGTTAACACGTCACTTGATGAATTTTAACAGAAAAAAAAAACGTCACATGAAGAATATTAGAAAAAAAAAAAAGATTACGTCATTTGAAGAACTGATTTTATTATTATAAGGTCAGTTAAAAACCAACGTTAACCTCCCAAATAAATAACGTCAACGAGCGTCTCTTTTGTATATCCACAAACTCATGTAAATAAATGTATAAAAATGACAAGAAAAGTAGTTGGACAAAAAAAAATTACAAGAAAATTAAATTAGCAAAAAATATTCCGACAAAACCAAGCTACCAATATCACTTTGATTTTTAAGTGTGTTGCCCATCTCACGAATTCAATGTCACACTGAGCTTAAGATATCATCATTAGGCTTATTAATTCTTTGTTTTTCTTAAATACGTTTTCTTATTTTTGAGGATTCAAAAAACTTACGTATTATTAAGTTCAAAAAACTTAGAGAAATTGCACTAGATAACTTAAAAAAAAAAAAAAAAATAAAGATTACATATTAACTAAGTGGTAGTGCATGTAACAGGTCAGAGAATAAGTTGCTTTGATGGAACAGGTCAGAGAT